GTTCGCCGTCGCAGCTATTAAGGTCAAAATGACTTGTTCGATAGCAATTGAACGACATCCATCCTGCTCCAAAAAGGCTTTTGAAGTGCACGATGGTGTTCTGCTTATGCTAATGTCTAGTTGTCTCCATTACTTGTCGATGTCGACTTCTGATTCATCCTATAGTTGCCAATCACAATGTCCTCGTCGATCCAGGAAAGATCACACGATATTTTGACTGTCACAGTTAATGGAACAGATCCACACATCAGGGTCCTGCTGTAATCACCCGACACTTCCCACCGCGAAAGCCTCGAGATCAAAGGGGAAAGACATGAAAGGCATTGGGAAGATTCACCTCACTTCTTTCCTTGGGTTTCCTCTTCCTGTTCACTCTGATAATGAATGGTTGACCCTGCAGCGTGCATTAGAGGATTTGTTTGTTGCGACTAAAGCCTGAAGTATACTTCGTTTTTTGTTTGTATCTTACTAATCAGTTTGTCCACAAGGTGGCAACAGTGACTCGGGCCATTGGTTTACAAATGAAAAACAAATGCGACAAACACAATAAACTACTGAAGACGGCATCAATAATAGACGCCCATGTTGACGAGCACTTGCGTGAGGTGGTTCAGAGATTATGCAACTTTTAAAGAGATTTTTATTGCTCATAACCGGACAAAGGTGAAATGTTCTAGCGTTTTGAAACGCTGCTTCGTGAAGCTTTGAAACATTTGCAAATCATTCGTTTCAAATCAGTGATTCGGAGCGTGTGTCAATACACAAAAGTCATGGGAATTCAGTAAGCGAGGCTTCGTTATATCATAACATTTTCAAAAAAAATTACATTTCAGTGGTTCGCCACTAGGGGGCGATCATAGTGAGCTTGTGAACCAGTTTCTATGCAGGTTTTTTTATTTTTTTTTACCTGATCTCAGATCAGTTTTATACATTTGTAGACATTTTAATGACACATTTGTTTAATAAAAATGTTAATAGTCTCTTATTGACCTGATTAACCTCAACAAAAGGCCTCCACAAAACAAACAAAAAAAGAACACATATTACACACTTCATATTTAATGACATTTGATGATTTTTAAAATTGCATTTAATAGATGACACTTAGTAAAACATTTGCAGTTGGTTTGTAAAAGGTGTTTTTATGCATGTGTTTGTTTTTATGGTTTTATTACCCACATTCGTATTTGTTTTGCCTTATGTCTGTTCTAGAGACATGATTTGACATTTTTACTTATTATTTTGCCTTATGTCTATTCTAGAGACATTTTTTTTTTACAGCTTTTTGATAAAACTCTACTAGGTTTCCTTTTGAAATATGTTTAAATTGAAACATCAAAATGCATTTAGGAATGCAAAATGTGATTAGTAAAGTGTCAAAACTGTGATTAAAGTCAAAATCGCAATGTTGATAAAAAAAATAATAAAAATAATAATAATAAAATGAAAATAGTGACAGCCCTATTGTATAAGGAGAATAAATGTTGAAATTGAAGTGTTATTTAGTGTGTCTTTGCACAATATTAATATAGGGAGAGTTGTATTGGTGTTTAATGTTCTGTTATGTTGAGATTTATAAGGATTCCTGTTATGTTGCAGTTTTGAAGAGTAGAGCCTGTGATTAAGTCGAGGAATTGCTACAAAACTTTAAGATTATACTGTTATGATCTGCATAATTACCTTAAAGTTGTGTTAACATATTAGGGTTTACTTTGTAGGGTATAACAGCATCCAAATTGCCTTTTCAAATTTGAAATAAATATAGTCATATGTAACAACATGATTATAATTCTGAATCCACCAGAAACCTTATGACTTGTTAATGATGGATGTCACCTCACAGGGATTGGCTGTCGCCCAACATTTTAGCCTAGCCTTTATTTAAATTTCAGCATTTCTGGTTTCTTGTCACAAACGTCTCTCACCAAAACATGAAACTGATCCGTCATCCCATATTTGTCACCGGTTTATTTGTAACCATCATCATTAGCATTTCAAAACAGTGCAGACAAACAGTGTCTGTTTCTGGCCGGACACGTCCATTCTTATCTTCTTATGTCCATATACAGAAGCAACAACTAAGGAAGGAAACTGAAGTATTGTATTGCAAATTTGTGATAGAGCAGAACTGAACTGGGCCTGTAGCACAAAAACAGCCCTTGAACAATTTGTGCACTTAAGATAACAGGCCTGTGGATGCTTCTAAAACCCTGCAATCTCATTGCCTCAGACTGGAGCTGTTTTTCAGTGAAGGTCACATGAAACTTTATTTTACTGTCCCGATTCAGTCTTTTTTCATTTCAGTTTTGTTTATGCTTTTCTCTAAAAGTATAAAGATGACAGTCATGGATGTGAGGCATATGCTGGACTTTTTTCTGTATATGCTAGGAATACAAATTTGTGGTGGTTTAGACTGTTAAGTGAGTATTGAGTTCCAGCAATTTCAACTAAAGTGCAACTCTTTGCATCAGTTTGTACAGTCTTCACTTATATATGTTTGATTTAGTATGCTAATTATTAGTACACAGGAAATGATTAAATGATTAATGAACACATTTGTGTGTATACAAGTATAGCAACAAGGTAGAATTTGATTCTGAATCTGTTTCTTAGGAATTATTTATTTATTTATTTTCTGTTTTTAACGTATTATGATTATTAAAAATCTCAATATATTGCTTTTAAAAGTGATGTTTTTTTTTCTGGTTCTAAATCTACTACTAGTTTAATTTTTAATCTACTTTTCTCATTCAGATTCTTCTGATTCTCAGTCTACTGGTATTGAATTGTGTATGTTTCTGATTACAATTCTTCTGATTTAGAATTTACTGATATTGATTCAGAGTTTAAAATAGCTGATTCTGCATCTACTTAAAGTATTTATTATGAACAAATCTAATCTATGTGTCCTGATTCTTCGGTTTACTTAATTTACTGATTTTAAAAGGAGTGATTGCTTCATTTGTTTCTAATTGTAAATCTACTACTAATTGCATTTTTATCTACTGATTCCAATTTTGAATCTACTTTTCTGATTCAGATCCTTTTTATTTTTTGTTTCTGATTCTGATTCTACTGATTTTGATTCTAATTCTGATTCTGAATCTACTTAAAGCATTTATTTTGACTGATTTAAATCTAAAAGTTTAAATCTATGTATACTGATTCTGATCCTCTGGATTTTTAATTTATGTGATGATTTATTGATTTACTGACCCATCCATCCATCCATCCATCCATCCCTACTTCTGAAACTGCTGATTTTAATTTTTAAACTACTGATTTCAATTTTGACTCTTCTGATTCTGGGTTTCAATCTGTATATTCTGAATTTCAGTCTGCTGATTTTGAAGTATCTCTCAATATTGTTTCTGGTTTTGAAACTGATTCTGAATATTATTCTGTTGATTCTGAACAGAATAGTTTTCAGATCTTCCTGTGGACACCTGAAGCCACTGTACAGAAATGGACATGATGACTTTTTTTCACACTCTCAAACCAGTGTTTTTGTCATTTCCCCCCTGCAAGGACTCTTGAATCAGCAGAGAGCTGTAGCTGCCAGCTAAAACTGCAGTTTACTGGCTATTCATGGAGCTTCAGTGCATTTAGGCCTAAAGACGGGCCTCTTAAGTGCCCATAAATACTGTGTGATTTATAAACAAATACCCCGTTTGATTATGAGTGCAGACTGAAGTGAGCGGCGGCTCTCCAACTGAGGACTGTGTGCGGAAAACGATTGAGCCGCACAATTAGCAAACAGACATGCATCTAAACATTAAATCAAATAGAGTTGGGTGAAAGATAATGATGCTAAAGAGATTTGTGTCAAGAATGTGCAGCTATTCAGATACAAATTATTATTAGGATGATTTTTGGATGATATTTTCTCAGATATTTTAGTATTTAATGGTTCTTTTTAGTTTAGTTCTCTTTCTTTCCTAAAACTATCTATGCAAGGAGACACATTTAGAGCCAAAAGAGTCTCTGTAAGGCCGTCTCTAGCGAGACGAGCAGTGGTCATGGTGATAAGCAGTCTGTCAGTGCAGTGGCTGCATCGTTGAAATAAAGGGCATTTATGTGACATGCTTTAATTGGGCCAAAGAAACAAATGAGTGGTCACTTTAAATTAGGCTGATCATAAACCATTTTAAAATCAGTGTGTGAGCGAGAAAGATAGTAGAGAAAAAAATATTACTTGGATTCTGGTCACAGTTCTGCCTGCTAGCGAGGAGTAAATAGGAAAATGTGAACCATAGAGCACCAGCGTTTACAAATCAACAGACGCAAACTGCTTCACACTGTGTTGGCTTGCATGTGACTTGCTGGTTCCATTTGTTCTGGTGGATGTGCGAACCGTTAATGTCGGCAGAAATCAGGACAAAAGCTGGTGAATGAACCTCCCCGCTAACTCCTCTATGCAATTTTATCCTTTTTGCAGCATTATGCAGTGCAGGGGTGTGTGGCTTCGAACTATTTTACCCGTAGTGCATGTGCTCACCATTTAATAAAACTATTCTTTTCAAATGTATATAAGTCATAATTTCTCACTTTCTCTCAGAATAGGAGTCGACCCCGAGGAATATTTTATTGCTGGCAGGTTGCTCTTTCATAGCTCTGGAGACTATCAGATGTTTGATTTAGTCTGAAATGTGCTCAAATAAAAATAAACAGAGGTACATACATGACATACGGCACAGAGAGAGTATAGAGCTATGAAATGAATGTTGATGGAGTTGTTGTGCGTTTCTTGACAACAAATTTTTGGGTTGCAGGCTTTGGTATCTTATAAATGTCAGATAAAAATAGTGGAAAAAAGGACAGAAACTGGTCAGAAATCCAAATGGACTTTTTTTTTTTCCAAAGTGTAAATATCTTCTGTATACATGAACATTTCTAGTTGCATTATTTTATAGGAAGGTGGTCCTTCGTTGGGTATTTACATATTGTTATATCAAATAGATCAAGCAGTGTAATTAACATAATTGTTTGTCTGTCTTTAGCTGGTGGCAGTGTACGAGGAGCATTTCCAACATTGCGACGTAACCAATTACCCCCATACCGAACCGAACCGTGACACCACTGTGTTGTATCGAACCAGACTGTGAATTTTGTGAACCGTTACAGCCCTAGTACTTACTCTGATTTGATTCTGGTTTTAAATGTACTGATTCTCATTGTTCTGAATCTTTCTGATTTGAATACTAATTCAGATTTTTCAGAATCTGAATCTTCAGTTTTTTAAATTTCTGTTTTTGATTTGATTCGTCTGCTCGTCAGTCTGCTGATTTTGATTGTGATTTTGAATCTAGTGATTATGATTGTTCTGAATCTTCTGATTTTGAAAGTAGTGATTCTGATTTGATTCTTCTGATTGGCAGTCTGCTGAATTCAATTCTGATTTTGAATCTACTGATTTTGATTTGATTATTCTGATCGTCAGTCTGCTGGTTTTGATTCTGATTTTGAATCTACTAATTATCATTCTGAACCTGAATCTTCTCATTTTTGATCAGTCTAGTCGTCAGTCTGCTGATTTTGATTTCTGAATTTGAATCTACTGATTCTGAATCTTTGAATCTTCTGATTTTGAAAGCATTGATTCTGATTTGTTTGCTCTGATTGTCAGTCTGCTGATTTTGATAGTGATTTGAATCTACTGATTATCATTGTTCCATATCTGAATCTTCTGATTTTTAAAGTACTAACTAATAGGCTTGCCGCGATAGACGGTGCTGACCGTGATACCGTTGTTAAGCCCCAACACTGGTTACGTCACTTGCCCACCGCGGCACCGACCCCCACCATCATTTTGATTTTTTATAGTAATAAAAATAATTTAGTTCAGTAAAAAAACAGACACTACAATTAAAAACGGAACATGGCTGCTCAATGCAGCGTGCTGAACGACAGTCGCATCACAGATCAGATTTCATTTATCCAATGAGGAGAGTGAGTCGAGCTGACTGACAAGAAGAGTGGGGTGAGACTGACAAGACGATCGTGGATGATTTCGTTTCGAAACTAAACTAAATGCAAAAGCGCCTGTTTGGCAGTATTTTAGATTTTGAAAAGCCTGTTGACTTTTGCCGTTTATCTAAGGTGATTTTGGAAGTTTTTTTAAACATTCGTTT